ATCCCAGTAAGTAGCTTTGTGATCCATCAGGTTTTTAGGAGGCAGTGGCCTCCATATTAAGGGATGGAAGTGGGATACTGGGAGAATAAGTTTAAGGAGCAGGCGTTTTCAAGACTCAGAATTCTTTCTCGTATGATAAACTACAAATAGTGACAATATTTTTGCCATGGTTTTTAAATAATCTAACAATTTCTCCATTTCCCCACTAAGAGAAACTGTCATCTCTACTTTTTCCTTATGTTTTCCACTTGCTCAATCACCCCTGGGAACAATACTTCACTGTTAAAGCCACAAGGGTCCGGCTGCTATTTTTTACTCTCCTATGTGTGGAAAGAGTCAGATCCAACAAACTCTAAAAGCTACCACTAAAAGAAAATCAGTCATAAGAACCTCGATCTGTATACTTTTGTCTTAAGTTCTCCATCATTAGTCGCACTAACCCCTATTGCTGTGGTCACCATCAGTTGCTAACAATACCTAAAAGACAGGATAAATTCTTACCAAAAACTTGACTTCAGAATGTGAACTGGCCCAAATATTTCAAGGTATGTTCATTAAACATTAAGTGTGTAAGCAGTCAGAGCTGTTAAATAATCTGTGACTGTCCAGTCAATGCACCTAAACCACTATGTTTATCTGTCCACAGGGCCTCACTGAAAACTGCTTCACATTTTAAGAGAGCTGCTTCACATTTTAAGCCTCAAACCTTCCCACCGTCCTCATCTCCATCCTCACTGAGGTCCTTACGGAGAGCATCTCTGTCATTCATTCATTCCCCAGGGGCCTGCTTTCACATGTGGCTCATACTGGAGCTTGGAACCAGGCAGAGGACTTCCTCTGAGTCACTCCAGCAAAAATGCCACTGACGTCCAACCCTGTGAGAAGCTGTGCAACCCACACAGAAGCCACCAGCCACCTCTCAACTTCCTTTCTGTGTCTCTGAATACTTGGCAATTCTATTTGAGAAGAGGCAGCCTCCCCCAATCCACAATCTCCTTTCCTCTTTTTCCTTGCATCACATTTCTGAGACAGTCCTTGAGAACTCCTCTTTAGTACATCTTTGTATTTCAGTCTGTTGTATACGAAGGTATTTTTGCTGATCACATTTTAAATTGGACATGGTAAGTATAACGTCTAAGAACAATAATGAAAATGGAAGAGAGTTTTAGTTATTCTATAGTCTAATGACCATGGGGATTCAAATTTTATAAAATATAGCAAAAAAAAAGAAGAGAATTCTTAAAGAAAAGTAATTAAGGAAACAGAATGGGCAGAATGAGAATCTAAATTAATACTGTGAATTAACAGATAAAAGTTTAGAGCAGGATTAAAGTCACCTAACACCACATCCCTTAGAATGTGAAACTCAAAAAGTCTGTTCAGATGTGCACAGACTTTAAGACCCCTACTGATTTTTATTTGATGTTTGACACTATTATATCTCTCATCACTGAAATGCTCTTGATGGAGAGCTCAGGTGTTTAAAGTGAAAGTTGCTCAGTCGTGTCCAACTCTCCATGACCCCATGGACTATGCAGTCCATGGAATTTTCCAGGCCAGAATAATGGAATGGGTAGCCTTTCCCTTCTCCAGGGGATCTTCCCAACCCAGGGATCAAACCCAGGTCTCCCGCATTGCAGGCGGATTCTTTCCCAGCTGAGTCAGTGTTTAAACTGGTGACTTAAGCTCAGGGGAAGCCCTGGACTCTCATAAGAAGAGCCTGGCTGTATGTGCTACTGTATCTCAGCCGCGACAGCATGTGAACATGCCTTGGGGTTAATGACTGAGACTGTAACCATCAAATACAATGCTGCAACATTGGAAGCCAGAGCACAGGGACTCAGGGCAAACAAAGCTGAGCCTAACCCTGGGCACAGTTTGCTTTTCCCTACACTCTGAGAAGCTACTCTCTGATCAGAAGAGAAGACATATCACTGCTGCTGTAAATAAGGGTGGCCCCTGCTCTCCTGTTTCCACAGCAACACCAAATGGCAGGGACTGCACATTCTCCAAGAAGAAAGTCTCTGCATCAGTTGCAACAAAAATCTCATCTCTGTACTGAGCCACAAATCATTGAAAACCCAGTCGAATCATGCTTCCGTAAGCATGCATAAGCATAAAAGAAAAAAAAATCTCCAAATAAAAAGATAATAGCTATTGTTTGAAATTTCCTCTAATAGGAGGAATTATTATTTACACTAGCAAAAGGATAAAATTTCCTAAATTAAAAGTCAAATGGAAATATTTTCCTTATCTATAAATAATACCTTTTTGAACCTGTTGTCAAGATCATATGTTAATTTATACACAATGTATAAACAAATCATAAACCAACTTTCTCAGGTGGAAAAAAAATTAAGAGGAAGTAGTGATTTTTCAAGGATTTTCTCACTGGGTAGAAGGATAGGATAAATTTTAAGGCATCACTAATTTTAGTATCTATGCATGAAATTTATTAACTTATGTTTCTTCTGAGAGAGTTTCTCAGAAGTCTCTCCCCAACCAGAAAGCCTTCCCTTACCTTGAGACAGAAGCACTTCCTACTCTGCCTACTGGTTACAAGATCCTGTATAACTCCATGCATCACTACCAGGCCCAGTATGAGCTGCAAGAGATGTCACAGAATTTTCCAATTTGGGGTGACCTAAAAGCTCAATTGTTAATATGCAGCTATTCATAGCTGTGAGTACAGCTATTAATAACTATGAATGTAGCTATTCACTACCTAGGACCAGGCTTGGCCTGCTGGCTCACATCTAAATGTCTCGATTCACTGTCACCAATGTAACTTGAAAATGCAAAGTTCTTCCAACTTAGTTGTCACATGCTCCTGCCTCTACACCTTCAGTTCAGTTCAGTTCAGTTCAGTCGTTCAGTCGTGTCTGACTCTTTGCAACCCCATGCACTGCAGCATGCCAGGCCTCCCTGTCCATCACCAACTCCCAGAGTCTACCCAAACCCATGTCCACTGGTGATGCCATCCAACCATCTCATCCTCTGTCTTCCCCTTCTCCTCCTGCCCTCAATCTTTCCCAGCATCAGGGTCTTTTCAAATGAGTCAGCTCTTCTCATCAGGTGGCCAAAGTATTGGAGTTTCAACTTCNTCTAACTGTTGCTTCCTGACCTGCATACAGGTTTCACTTTACTGACATCAATTCACAGAGACTGTTCAAAAGGGTCACCTTTTAATCCCCTTTAAAGGAATGCTGAAGTGACACATGTGTATCAACTTAAATATACAGTAACACATATACAGGCAGAGGTGGGTACACACTCAAGGTCATGAAGAGGATTCATGGCCACAGAAGCTTCCCAAAGAGCTGAAAGTAAGTCATCCAGAGACACACTGACAAGGCTCCAGCCCTGCACAGATGTACATTATGATTGCTATTTATATTTAAATTGAACATTTTATGTGCGTGTGTTAGTCGCTCAGTCATGTCCGACTCTTTGCGATCCCATAAACCGAAGCCCACCAGGCTCATCTATCCATGGGATTCTGCAGGCAAGAATACTGAAGTGGGTTGCCATTCCCTTCTCCATGGGATCTTCCAAACCCAGGGATCAAACCTGGGTCTCTTGCATCTCCTACATTGGCAGGTGGATTCTTTCCCACTAGCAGCAGGTGGAAGCCCAATCATCACCCTGCATGTTCTTTGCAAAAAACCATAACCCCAGGGCAATCATAAGAAAACATCAGACAAACCTAAAATGAGGGACCCTTTACAAAATGCCACACCAGAATTTAAAATTTGGTCTCAAGGTCATGAATGACAAGGAGAGGCTGCTAAGTAACTGTCACAGACTGGAGAAGACTTAGGAGATAGCAGTTAATAAGGTGTGTTAGCCTGGGCTGGATACTGATGGCAAAAGGACATGAGTGGGAAAGCTGGTAAAAGTCAGATAAAGTCTGTAGTTCGGTTAATAACACTGCACTAGTGTTAACTATTCCTTTGTTTTGACAAACACACTGTGATCATGTAAGATGTAACAATAGGTGACACTGGATGAGGAACACGCAGGAACTCTCTTCTATCTCTGTAATCTTTCTATAAATCTAAAATCTTTCCCCCAGAAAAGTTACTTAAAAAGTATCATTCACATATTACTAAATGATGGCAAATGCCAGCCACAGAGACCAAGAAATAGAATGCATGTTAATCTCTGGAGATTCACATGAGAAAATGTTGCAAATCTGGTACCTACAACTTAATGTCCTTCTTTCCTTCCTTATAGACAGCTGGATGTATTTAACAATACCACCAATATTCCAGCAATATAGCTTTAAATTCTAATCACTTGGCTAAAACTAAGCATATTCTAAATAGAATAAAATGAAAAGTGGAAAATTTCCAAATTTCCTATAACCCTAATTGACTGCCTAGTTTCTTGATCTTTCGATTATTTTATAAAAAGAAAGGGCTACTTTTAATTTTTTAAATTTTCTTTTTCTGCTTACCTGATAAAATCAATCTTTCCTTTTCCTTTCAGTTGCCTTATATAAATTTTAACAGAGCATCAAATTTGACAAGGCACATTTCACTTCTAGGAACTATTTATCTAGCTTACTAATGGAATGTTTAATATTCTCTGTCTTATAATATGGCCACTTTTGCCAGAAGGGTGTGTGTTTGAGTCTAGAGATAGTAGTCTGGAAAGACACAGGTCAACAGAGGTATGACGGAGGCATCAAGCTGACCTCCAGAGAGTCATATGCTCCAACTCCAGTATAAAGCTGCTGCCAGGAAGTGATGACCTAATTTCCAAGCCCCCTGTCTTCTAAGCGACGCTGTGTTACCAGTTTGGGTCTATAGAATGTGACTGTGTAGCATATCCAGGCCAAAGAGCTTAATCATTGTGTTTCTTCCACATTCCCTTTGCTTTGCATGGCAACCTTGAAGGCATACTGTACAGTAATGTAATTCTTCAAAAGAAAAGTTATAAAATAGTAAGAAATTAACACATTAATAATCTTTACATTACATATCACTCACTTTGTATCTGTGTAAGTGTCGGCTGTCCACTTCAGAACAAGTTTTACACATGATGTTCAACACATATATTTCTGTATAGCTGTTGAAAAAAATCCGTATACAAATGGGTCCAAGCAGTTCAAACCCATGCTGTTCAAGGGTCAACTGCAGATCCTGTGTGGGGAGAAAAAGAACAAAAAATCTTTCAACCTCAACAATCTTCCCCTTATTTCATGTGACTTTGAAAAAGTTAGCTCTTATTACCAGATAAATATGTTTTCCTCTTTAGGATAACATTGTCTGGAAATGCTAATAAGTATTCTGCTGTTTTAGATCAAGTATCACAAATACAGTATAACAGTGCAGATGTACATGTCATTCTTAAAATACTGATTACCTGGATGCATGACAGTTAGAAGTTGAAAGGATGTAGAGATTCCAGCAGTTGTGAAAACTCAGAAAAAGTAAAGATCAAAGAAACAAACATCACCTTTAACCAGGACTGGTGGGTACTCATTATTTGTGTCTTTATATCTATAGCATACTTTCTTTAAAAAAAAAAAAAAATGTTTCGAACCAAAAGTAAAACAAAATTAAACTGTGCCTTTGACCTCACAAATATTTCACTATTGCATGCCTTTATCTCAGTCACAATTACATAACAGTCATGACACAGATGCATGATTCTCATCTAATATCCATGCACTTCTTCACAATTCTAGTCTTGCTACAGATAGGTATGCTATATACATGTGTATGAGAGAGGTATGCTATATTACTAGATTTGACCAAAAATTGTGAGAAGTAAGAGTGTCACTGCCAGGCTGAGGTGGTAAAAAAAAAAAAAAAAAATTCCAGAGGGATTCAGCACAGACGTGCATTACCTGCCTCTATGAATAGTAAACTGGTGCAGAGACGCAGGGTCAAGATGGGACCCTGAATCACTGCTTAAAGTAAGCCACCTTGGAGACCTGGCAGGCACACTGAAGGCTTTCATGTAATAACACACTGAGATTTCTGAGTTGCTTTGCTACTGAAGCATAGTCCAGCATCCCTGACTAATATAACACCTTCTCACTTTCTCAATCCTTTGAATTCCGTAGCATTTAAATACATTTACTTCAAAGGTACTCATCTCTATGTAAGCTTTCGGTATTGCTATTTAAACAAAGTCTTTGCTTAGTCTAACTCAGAGACTCTAAGTTAGAGTCCTTTCTTGAGACCTCTCATTCACTGCCTTAGAGAAAACATGGCAAAGAAGAATGAATCTTAAAAATAAAAATAACTGACGTCACTGACTAGTATTCAAATTCATGAACATAAGAGGTATTGACAATGTGCATCTATAGGAAACAAAATAAAACAGCAATGAGGGAACTGACTCATTGTACCTATTTTTTTCTCTGTCAGCCATACTGAAGAGGCCTAAATGTCATTTATTCATTTAGGGCGACACATATCACAAGTAGCAGAAATCAGTTTCTTTGCTAAGTTAAAAATACCTTAGATTTGTGTTTTAAAAGCAATATGCACTCACTGCCAAGAAGGCCTGTGGATAAGGCAGAATCTTATTAACTACAACCAACAGAACAGGGTGAAATGTTAGCGTAACTTCAGCCATCTAAGACCACTGGGGTAAGTCTATAAACACAAACATGCAACTACTAAATGACTCACTCAGCTGACCAAGGCGGTATGTTCGGAATGTAAGTCATCCAGCCCTGTGCTGCATCAGCGCAGCGGGAGTGGCCGTAGTGAAGACACCCAGGTCTCCCGGGACAACCAAAACCAGGGCCTGCCCGTCACCTTGATGGATTCCTAACAAAACATAAACCTAGTTAAAATTGAGGCCCAGTGAAAGTCTGTGACGTATATATTCAGATGTATGCTTTCCAGGGCAGCAACTTTTTCCCAACGTGAATTCCTAAAGATCTAACTGCAGGCCTCTTTCAGTACAGAAGGGTTGTGCTTAACTGTGTGTATGAGAATAGTGATGTTTCAGGAAGGAGCAGGGAGTGAGAGAAGGCATGACAGTCACCGAGGGAGGATGTTCAGACCAGCGCACATCCGCTCCCCACTCACCTCAGGTGTCTGATAAGCCTTAGAGTCTCAGGCCCTGTGGGATTTGGGGAGCAGGGGTGCAGGCTGTAGGGGCCTCAGGGATCTTGCTCTATCCTCATACATTCCCCACTTGGAACTCCTGAAATGAAAACAAGCACGCTGTTTTTTCTGTAGGATTTTTTTAAAAGGTGGACTCCTGAGAGAACAAATGCAAACAAATCCCCAGCAGAACAGTCTCAGTGTTCCTGGTGGAGACTGAACCGAATGTTTCCTGAGCATCTCCTTCATGCTTTTGTCATCTCGGAGAAAAACAGCGTGTTCCAACCTTCTCACTTGTGTTCACATTCCAGGAAACAGAATGTCTCACAATACTGAATAGAACTGGAGGGAGTATACTAAAAATCTCTCATTGACAACTTCATAGAGTTTTAATACAAATGTAAAACACAGTAGTATGGTCCAAATATAATACTCTGTACCCTCCCAGAATTTTACTCTTTCACTAAAACAAATTAATACATACCTATAGTGTGCTATGTAGTATCAACATTCGTCAGAAAGATTTAACCAATTCTATTTGATTGCATTGTGTAATTTAACTATTGGGCTTCAAATTCTACTTATTCAACTTCAAAAATATCTTAAACTATACTTCTCCTGTATCTCTACTATTGGAGAAGTAAATCCAACTCATCAACCCTCTCAAGACAATATCATTTTCAGACTATACCCATCAGGCTATATTATAAGATTTATTGCTCTCCAACTCAAATCTCATTGTATTGCAGTAGGTTAAGACCTACTGTTGCTTCTGCATGACCAAAAAGACAAAATCTAAGCTCCTTATCTTTGCAAAAAAGCCTTTCACAAGCTTTAAATTCAATTCTGCTCCTCCTCACTCTGTGCAGTATTCTCGAGTCTCATTATACTTATTTGCGTGTGTGTGGTCATGCTCAGTTGCTCACTTGTGTCTGACTCTTTGTGACCCCATGGGCTGTAGCCCACCAGGCTCCTCTGTTCATGGAGTTTTCCAGGCAAGAATACTGGAGGGGGTGGCCATTCCCTACTGAAGGGGAACTTTTCCACCCAGGGATCGAAGTCACATCTCTTGCGTCTTCAGCACTGGCAGGTGAATTCTTTACTACTAGTGCCACCTGGGAAGTCAAATTATTCCTGAACACAGAGTAACTTTTCTTTTACTTCACACATGCCACCTACTTCACTTAGAATGTCTTCTCCCAACTTCTTTACTAAAAGAAATAAAAATAAATTTTCCTATCAAAAACAAACTCGTATTTTACTCTTTCCTCAAAGTGTTTTGTTATTGGATGCTTGTAGTAAGTCATGTTACAACATAGCTGCTTTCAAAACAAGAAATATGTACTTTTGCCTGCGCTGTGTGGCATAAAGGATCATAGTTCCCTAACCGGGTATCAAACCCATGCCCACGGCAGTGGAAGTGCAGTCTTAACTGCTGGGCCACTAGGGAAATCCCTAGAAACATTTATTATCTCTTTGTTTCTGTAATCAGGAATTTGAATGGAGGTTAGCTATCATTTCAACAGAGGAAATCTCAGGCTGTCAGGGTGCTCACTGGGGCTATACTGATCTGAAGCCTTGACTGGCCTGGAGAATCTCCTTTCAAGATGGTTCACTCAGATGGCTCTTGGAAAAATCCTTTTTGGTTATTGGCAGGATGCCTCAGCTCCTCAAACATGGACCTCTCCACAGGGCTACTTAAGTGTTTGGTTGACATGGCACCTGGCCATGAGAAACCTGGGAGATAGCAAGAAGGAAACTAATGTCTTTTATCTATTTGACCACATTTTCTTCATAGGAAGTGAATCACTAAGTTCTGATAATAATCATGAAATGCCTTCACCTTTGCAAGGGGACTTGTCAAATAATTTAGACATATTTTAAAACAGCTGCAAAAGGTTTCCAAAATTTCCCCAGAAAGTCAACTAGTCTTTCTTCTGTTTTCCCTGGTTATTTATGTTAGCTGTTTTGTAAAACATAATATATTGTCTAAAGAGTTCATCTGAAAAGATACCGTGGGGCTTTAGTACATAAACATCAAACTTCTATTTTGCTATTTCCATATAAAGTCTTGGAAATCCCAAGACTTTGAAAATTAGATTAGTTAAAAAATAACACAGGGATAACTGGCTAGTCATCTGGCAGGAGAAAAGTGTAACTCTGTATTGTCCTTTATACAAAAATAAATTCCAAGTGAGTTTATGATTTTTAATTTTTAAATAAAACCATAAATGTATCAGGAAAATATGAACAGACATTTTTTATAATCTTGGAGTAGAAAGGCCCTTTGAAGAATGACATAAAAGCCCAAAGTCATAAGGAGGAAGAAACTGATAAAGATAACTACTTAAATAATAACACAGCTGTATAGAAGAAAAAAAGATTTAAACAAAAAGAAAACATGGAAAAGACAGAGAAATATCAGTAACATATGATAAACAAAGAATAATTTTCTTAATAAATATAGAGTTCCCTAGGGGCTCAAATGGTAAAGAATCCACCTGCAATGCAGGAGACCTGGGTTTGATCCCAGGGTCGGGAAGATCCCCTGGAGGAGGGCAAGGCAACCACTCCAGTATTCTTGCCTGGAGAATCCCATGGACAGAGGAGCCTGGTAGGCTACAGTCCATGGGGTCACATAGAGTTGGATGCAACTAAGAGACTAACACTATTATAAGAAAAAATGTACAAATGAGCAAAAGGACTTCTGTTCCAAGAAAGCAGCGTACAGGCTACAATCTTGACACCCTGTAACAAATCCAAAAATGCATAAAATAATTTTTAAATACTTATCTGCCCTTAAAAACACAAAGGAAATGCTCAGGGTACTACAACTATGATAAACCTTTGCATATGAGTTAGAATTAGATTTATTTGTGGATAACAGAGATCTAAAATAGCAGTAGCATAAGTGAGATTATATTTGTGTGTGTATGTATGTTTTTGCATATATACAACACCTTATGGAAAAGCCTGAACAAACTTTTTGATCAACCCAATACATACATATACACATATACAAGCAAGATTATATCAGAGATCACACATATACAAGCGATGCACACACAGACACATTTCTCTCACATAAAAGCCCACGGGCAGAGCACAGAGACAGCAGGGCACTTCTACCAGTCTTCATTAAACTCACCATTCTGTCAAACTGGTGTGTGGCTGTAATTCTTGTGGTCTCAGTTGTCAGCTAGATCTATAGTCTCGTCTCCATTCCTAGAAGCATCCAAAAGGGAGCCACTGACTGAAGAAAGTTTCCAAAAACCACCACATGCATTTCTGCTTACATCCCACTGACTAGAACTTTGTACTAAGATCACATTTAAGCAAAAGTAGTTTGGGAATACAGTCTTCAATTTGTTCGTTCAGATACCCAACTAGAAATCAGGGATTCTATCTTGTGAGAGAAGAAGAATATATATTTGGAAATATGAGCAGCTTCTACATTCACTAAAAGTCAAAGATAACATAGAAAAAAATCTCAGTGTAAAACATTTCTGAAAGTGAGAATTGAAGGACATGGAAACTGAGATCATCAGAACCAGTCTATAGAAAATGTCCATGAACTCCTGGACTATGCCTTGAAGTTGCCTGGTTCTTTATCTTTCCATAATTTAATGACTCACTCTTTAGACTGTAAGATATACTCCAGTATCAAACCAATGGATGATGATCTTTTTCTCTCCCTTAAATTAGCCAGAATCAGTTTCTGCTGCTCTCAACAAAATAATCTCAATCAATATATTTGAAGATATGTATTCCAAAAATTTCAGTCAAATGCACATGCATACACACACACAATGGACGTGTCTTGAGAAATAAAGGTGAGGTTGTGTAGTTCATTAGCAATCATCTATTTCAACCAAAAAAAGGGGCAGATTTCTCTTCATCTCATTCCATCCTTCTGATTATCACCTCAGGGATTCAATAGGGGTTCCAAAATATTTAAGACTAATTCATTTTGAGTTTCATGTTTTAATTGCAGATCCAATTATATTATTTCCCTCCTTAAAACTCTGGGATCAATGTCTATCACTTTTCTGGAAAAAGTCCAAACTCCTGATCATGACATGGAAATCTCTCTATAACCTGGCCACAGACTAATCCTCCTCCTCTTCTAGGTTAATCTGTGCAATCTCTCAGTCAATACAATTATTTACTGACAGCCTACTGTGCGCTAGCCACTGTTCTAGATGCCAGATATATAGTCAGGAATGATATTCAAAATATCTAGCTACTAGTATAAGAAGATACCAGCTGTAAACAAATGAAAAAGCTTTACCAATGTGTATTATCAGAATACCAACCTGAATGTATCAATAAATACATCGGAGCCTCTACCTGTAAAGAGTTACTTTCTTTGAATTGGAAGAGAGACAACAGATAAAACACTAAACAAGTTATTAAGAAAATTTCAAGTATAAGAGTATAATAAAGATAGAGAAAATGTCATCTAAGGAAGTGACATTTGAGTTGAGATGTGAATAAATAAGATGTAATAGGTAGAAATATGGCCCACACAAAAGGTATGTCCATGTCTTAACCCCCAGAACTTGTAAGCGTTGACTGTGTTTAGAAAAGGCAGCATTACGGATGTGATTAAGTGAGGACCTTGAGATAAGGAGATTATCCTGGGCTATCTAGGTGAGCACTAAATTCAATAACACTTGTCTTTGGATGGAGATTTGGGACAAAAAGAAAGAGACAGAGACATACAGAGGAGTAAGTGATGTAAAGACCAAGTCAGGGAATGCTAACAGTCACCACAAGTTGCAAGAGGCAGACAGTGGATCTCTCCTGTCCTAGTCAACCCAGGTGGCCATAATAAAACACCACAGATTGGGCGGCTTAAACAACAGACATGTATTTACCAGAATTCTGGAGGCTGGGAAATCCAATATCAAGGAGTCGGCTGATTCACCTCCCCAGTAAGGGCTCTCTTCTTGGACTCCAAATGCCCACATTTTCAGAGTTTGTAGTAATTTGTTGCAGCAACCCTAGAAATCTAACATAGAAGGCAACTTTGGAGAATCTGAGAGAAGTATATTCTAGTCAAAATGAACAGCAAGTGAAAACTTCCAAGATCACCTATAGAAAATATACCACTAATCAAAGCTAATGAAAGAAGATTTGGGGGAAATATAACATGTCCGTAAACATGCCATTTTTCTCCAAGGTAATCTATAAATCCAATGCTGCTCCAATCAGTGTCCTCAAAAATTTCTCACTTAAGATTATACACTGATTTCAAAATTTATATGGAAGATCATAGCCAAAACAATTCTGAGAAATAAAGGACAAAAGGTGTAATATTTGCTTAACATATATTGTCTTATTACAAAGACACAGCAATTAAGAAAATGTGATATTGCTATAAGGATAAGCAGATCAAAAGAGCTTAATTTCAAAACCTAAAAATAGACCTGTATTTATACAAACATATAAACAACAACAATACACACACACATATACTTGAAAAGTCCAACAAAGGTGGCATTTCAGTATAATCCTCCTTTACTTCCTTAGTAAACAGTGCCCCAGGGAAGGTTCACAGAGGGAGTCTTCCTTCCCAGATACAAGCAGGAAGGGATGCCCTAGCTGAAGAGAATTTTTAAATGACAGTGAAGCTGACTGAAAGCTTGCCTGCTGTTTACTGCTACCATGTGCTGGCAAATTAATGTCAGTGCTGAAATACTCCTGCCCCAGTAGACCACTCCCCACTGCCCACCCCTAAGTAGGTCGCTGCCCTTTCACACTCTCCTCTCTTTGTAGACACAGCAATGGAATTTCTCAGTTCAGTTCAGTTCAGTTGCTCAGTCATGTCCAACTCTTTCTGACCCCATGGACTGCAGCACACCAGGCCTCCCTGTCCATCGCCAACTCCCAGAGCTTGCTCAAACCCATGTCCATTGAGTTGGTGATGCCATCCAACCATCTCATCCTCTGTCGTACCCTTCTCCTCTTGCCTTCAATCTATCCCAGCATCAGGGTCTTTTCAAATGAGTCAGCTCTTTACATCAGGTGGCCAAAGAATTGGAGTTTCAGCTTCAGCATCAGTCCTTCCAATGAATATTCAGGACTGATCTCCTTTAGGATGGACTGGTTGAATCTCCTTGTGCGGGACTCTCAAGAGTCTTCTCCAACACCCAGTTCAAAAGCATCAATTCTTCAGTGCTCAGCTTTCTTTATGGTCCAACTCTCACATCCATATATGACTACTAGAAAAACTATAGATGGTTTATTTTGACTAGATGGAGCTTTGTTGGTAATGTCTCTGCTTTTTAATATGCTGTCTAGGTTGGTCATAACTTTCCTTCCAAGGAGTAAACGTCTTTTAATTTCATGGCTGCAGTCACCATCTGCAGTGTAATTTCTGACCCTGTTTAAATACAGCAGTCTGTCTGCTCTGCCTCTACCTAAAGTCGCACACAGACAAGCTAACAATTCCAGTTTAACGTTAGTGACTGCAAATCTCTAAAGGGCACTAAACACTAGTATTTTACTACACTTTCTTTGAATACTTGCTTCTCCCACTATGCAAAATCACATCACACCTTTTTCTTTCTTCTCAAATCTACAGCTCCCCACCTCTGCCATTCTGCTCATTATCAGCTGATGACTGACTCATACTTCACTGAGCAAGTAGGACTGAGATGAGAATTTCCTCATCTTCTGCCATCAAATGTACCATCTCTAAGTCTGAAGTCTACCTTTCTGCCTCCTCTTCCGATAGGTAAGCTGCTCCTGCTCCTAAATGCTTCTCCACTGGTGCTTTGGGTCACATTCCAATCCCCATTTCAAGGACTTAAAGCACACTCTAACCTCCTGTCATTCAATTGATAATTTTAAATAATGAAAGGATGGTGATAGATGGATCAGTGCATCAGGTGATCGATGGATGAATCCATAAATGCAGAGAGAAAAAGAAAGATAGAATTACATTCCCACGATCACATCTCCTCAGAGCTGTAAGCCCTCCCCTCCTTTTTTGGTTCCTTTCCCAGTAATACCTTTCTATGTTGATCTCTAAAGTCATTCTCTTCACTTTCTCACTTCTTAGCTCATCATCAATTTGATCTAACTGGTGGATCTGGTTACCACCATTCCACAAAAACTACTGTAAGCAAGATCACCAAAAATCTCCATCATATCCAAACCAATGTGACTTCTGTTTTCCCAAACTCCCCACAGCGCTCAGCTACTTAGGACTCCGCTCTCCTTGAGACATTTCCTCCTCTTGTAGAATCACATTGTCTGGCATCCTTCCTGCCTAACCAGCTGCTTGTTCTCAGCTCATCCACATTTTTTAGATACTACCTGTACACTTCATTCTCACAAATCTCCCTCTCCAAGCCCACCCTTCTTCCCTGAACTCTGAAAAGCACTTATCTCAGAACTGAACTCCTGATTCTCCCCCATCGAGGTTCATCTACCACGTTTACCTTATTAGCAAATGATACTAGAGCCCATCTAGCTACTCAAGCCAGAAACCTAACAGTTACTTTTTATTCTATTTTTCTCATACCCCATCAATAGCCATAACTCCAAAACATATTTTAACTTGAACCATTTCATTCTGTGAAATAAAATTTGTATTTTATGGCAAGACAAGAAAAATGTAAACATAAAACTTCTTCTCTGTGGTCTCCTCTCTCCCCCCACTGCGCTTTGTGTATCTGAATTATGCATTGACCAGACCTCCCTCCTCCATCAGCAGGAATACCTGCTCAACCCCAAAGAGCAACAGTTTCTAGCATCAACAAGACAACTCCTTAAAAGGCAGAACTGCTTCTGATCTTGTAAGGGGTCACATGACCCACCAGGATGACACTTAGAGCTGGATTATATAAACTGTCAATAATACATCATTTGATATACAGACTTCTGTCTCGAGAAAAAGGAAGTAACTTAATTGTGCCTTGACTTCTAACTGGCAGAACAGTTCTCAGAGCTTTCTGAGATGCTCTTCCTGGGTTATAATCCTCAAATTTGACTCAAATAAAATTTTCCATTTCTTTCTTAGATTGGCTAATTTTTCACTGACAATTACATTTCTTTATTGTCTAAGTCACCTTCACTTTGGCTACTAAAATCTCTTCCTGCTTGTCTACCCATCATTCTTTCACCCAAAGTTCCATATTTCATTAAAAGCAATAGCAGCCTTTTAAAAGTGCAAATCAGATGACGTTGTTCCCCTGCTGAAAACTCTCCAATGACTTTCCATTACACCTAAAATAAAATCCAAAACCCTCGCAGCAACCTGGAACCTCCTCCCTATTCTGTCCTGCTCACCTCCACCTGTGNAGCAGCCTTTTAAAAGTGCAAATCAGATGATGTTGTTCCCCTGCTGAAAACTCTCCAATGACTTTCCATTACACCTAAAATAAAATCCAAAACCCTCGCAGCAACCTGGAACCTCCTCCCTATTCTGTCCTGCTCACCTCCACCTGTGCAATCCCGTCTCATGCAGCCCTCTGCACCACTCAATACACTTCAGCTATACTGACCTTTTTCTGGATGTGATCAAGACCCTTCTCCTTAAAGAAGTTCACATCCTAGTGTGCCTGGGTGGTCCAGGTTTTCATCTGTTATCCTGATGTCCTACCCACTGTGTATTTGTCCCAGATTTATCTTTTATTTTAAAGCCAAGGCCTATTAATAGTTACATTAAAATAAGCCAGGATAAGTTTAATAGATCTTCACTTTGTACTTTCAGTTACCACCCTGGGCTTGTCTACTAGTGTGTAAGACACATGAGAACTGAACTGAGTCCTCACTCTAGCAAACCGGTTACGCCTGAAAGTTGACCTCACTGAGGATCCTGTTTTCCAGACCCTTTACAAAGGAAAAGGGACAAATAACCAGTGTCATTTTCTAAAACAAACTGCATGGGGACAAGAGACCAGGGAGGGCGAACTCCTGCAGTCTCAGGTGGTAGCAGGAGATGTAGTAACTGTCTCTGCCTCTAGGATCTGAACACCAGAAAGAGACAAAGCTTCATCTCAAAGGGCTAATTCTGGTACCAGCCAGTGGGGCACAACCTTGGATGATATCCTGTGGACCACTGGACTTGTTTGCAAGTCCAGTAGCATACTTCTCAGAGCTAACTGCTTCGCAGGGATTCAGAAAGTTGTAGAGGATCAGATGGGCAGCAGACCACCAAACAGTGACTGTGACCCATTTTTTGGTGCAAGCTTGGCTTTGGGGAGTGCTCTGTAGCTTCTTCTTGGTCCAGCCACTGAACTGGTTATCACTGGTTGTCATAAAATCCATTTCCCTCACACATCACAATTTGATTGAGAAATGGTTCGTTCTTGTTACACAGAATAAGAGATTACTCTCAAAAATGACTATTTTTTGATTTGCGGTCAGCTCATGAGGCACCCTCTTATTGAGGTTTTTCACTTTTCCAATTTTCACCTTTCCAAGCAACCATAGAAAGGTCTAAGTTGAGTTATTGGGCAACTTCTCAAGGAGTTGTAAGAGGATCAGCTTCAGTGATTGCTCTCAGTTGGTCATTGTCAGCTTCCGATGGCTGGTCACTAAGCTCCTCATCATCAAGGCTCTCATCTCCTTTGCAAAACTTCTTGAAGCACCACAGCACTGTACGTTCATTAGCAGTTCCTGGGTCAAATGCATTGTTGATGTTGTAAGCTGTCTCTGCTGCTTTATTACTGACTCATTTTTAACTCGAATAAGAAAACCGTTCGAATTTGCTTTTGGTCTAACATCATTTCCACAGTCTGAAATACATAGAAGATAAATAGCAAGTAATAATTCAATAGCAAAAACACAAAGCAAGAAATGTGCATTAAAATGATATATAACATAACCACATTTATTTAAGAATGAATTCCAATATCAAATGGCAAAATGCAACAATGCAAAACCACAATTACTTTAGCACCAACCTAATAATAGGTGCATTTTTTTCACTCTACTCTGGATCATTTAACTGAATAGCTGGGTCTCCAAAACATGTAATAAATCTGAGCCCACTCATTG